AAAAAGAATGAGACTTTTATTTTCCACAGATTTTTAAAGATACTTTGCTACATAGTTTATGTCTTTTCTATCAGACTATACAGGTTCGTCTTCACGGAGTCCGACGTTGTACAACTGTAAAGTGATATGTTTGGTAGTGTATCTATAACGTTTTAAAAAGTTTAGAGTTTTTTTTTTCTTTCTTTTTTTTTTTTTAATTTATTTTTTTTGGAATGTACAGTACATGAGGTAAAATTAAGATTACATTAAAAACTGTCTTCAATGCAGTAATACGCACTGAGGCTCAAATGGCAAATACACTAGTAAATGACTATCAAAAATAGGAGCTCATTTGAATTTTACTATGAAAAACACAAGTCACTGCAGATTTAACTGTAGTAACAAATCTTGCCGTTTTAGACATTCAACCGTAAGAAATCTCTGGGCTGTTACAGGCAACCTCGTTTGCACTGCCAAACATGGCACTTTTAAGAAGGTTCTAGAAAACATCAGTTATCACGGTATCCTGTGGGAAGGTATCAGCCTATACGTACAAATGACAAATTCGAAATAAAATGTAAACATAAGTACATTTTAAAGACAGATCGTTCTCGCCACGTGGAGGCCAAGTTCTTTGCAATTTCTTTTTTTCTCTCTTTTTTTTTAAAAAAAACGAAACTCAGCAACAGTTTTCTACAGCACAGATCATTGGACGTATAAACAATTACAATACATGCCCGTTCTAATATAAGAGAAATTCTTCAGAGATCTCCAAAGCACAAGACAGAGGTTCCTTTTTTTTTTTATTAAGACCGACAGAAGTGTTTAATACCATTAAAAATGCTAAACTGAACACAACTAGAAGTCATTAATGATCCACTATCTTGTAACTCAAATAAATTAAAAATAGCTAATTACAAAGTGTATAACAAATAACGTAAGTGTGATGAGACAAGGATTTTTTTTTTTTTTTTAAAGATAGTTTCACTACAAGCTTTGTGTCACTGGCAATCATTGACATCTAGCAAGATGTTCAATGGGATACTTGATAAAATTCAGTCTGGTCATTCAAGAAGTCACAAATGCAAGCTCACAAAACATTGATGAGTTATGCAATTGCAAAGTGCTCTAATGCAACATTAACTACATGCAATCAACAATTTGGTACAGTATCCAAAGAGACATTACATTAAACATTAGGATCTCAAGAAAAAAGCAGCTTTAAGTTTTCTGGTGCAAATTACTACACTTCGTCTTCTGATTTGGTGCCCCAAAGAAAGAACAAAGGAAAAAAAAATGAAAAGAAGGCAGTGCTTGATTCTGGTGGATATGGCAAGTGAACGTTGGGGAAACAGCAAAAATTCAATCATGAATTTTATCTCAAAAAATCTATTAACTAGCCAAAATCAGAGGGCACAGACATCTGTATAAACTGCATCCAATCAAAGTTCAACTTCGGAAATGTGTTTTTCAATTTAAATAGTAAGTCTAAGAAGTTCTCTCACACTCTCCCTTCTATATTTTAAGAAGTAAAAGAGGCATTTTTGTAAGTAAACATCAAATCCTGGGGGCAAGATAAACCACTTGTGCCATCCCCTTGTAGTCGTTCGAAAACATCTACTTGCAGTGAAGAACTCCACATTTATCAGATAAGAAGCTTCCTTCATGCATACTCTTCCATCCAGTTTATTATTTGCTGCCTGAGAAAAGCCCCGTCTGTTTTTCAGCATAAATCCTGCTTCCCAAATAATTAAGACAAATGAGGAGGTAGAAATACAGCGCTAAATTGCTTTCACAGCATCAGATTAATATTGTATACAGCACAAGTTTGTTAGTGTAAGTTTTAAATGCGATCTACACATTCTTCCCTGTTATGGTAGCAACTCTGAGAAGTGTGGGCCAGGAAACCACTTTTACACTTGTGTTTACCAGTCAAACCCTTTTCATTACACACCACTTGCCTGCCCCATCTAGAGTTTGTACTGCAAGAAGGCATATTAAAGAAAAGATCGTATTTCTGTGTCTTGTGTTCTAATAACATGTGTCAGCCTATACCTACCAGTAAGCATCTGAAAGTGGCTGAAAAGGTTTGCATCAGTCCCAATGCCGGTGCTAAATGCCTGGTTTTGTAAAAAGCAAGAGAACAGAATTACTTTTAGATTATGAGAAAGTAAAATGTAATGGGCAACATTCTAAAATAAATCTCTTTCTTCACTTTATTACAAAGTACTGAATGATGACGGCAATCAGAATGGAAAAGATAGCAAAAAGTGCAAGGATGACAGCAGCACACACTTGGTCACTCTGTGACCATTGTGTCCTTGTGGTCTGCACAGTGTCCTTGTTGGTGCTTGCCGGTGGTTCAGTCCTCTGAGAGATGAATAGCACTGGTGCACTGTAGGGGCCTATCAAGTCCTGATGACCCACTGTCTCTTGGCACTGTCGAATGGCACACGCGCGGAAACGGTATTCACAGTTCAGCTGGAGGCCTGTGTATCGGAATGACCAGTCTGGACCCTTATAAATCTGTCAATAAAGAAAGAAAACAATATATCAATGAAAAATGCCTTACATACACATATATATTAGGAAGAATATATATTAGGAATAATATTAGGAAGAAGTTCTTCACTGTGAGGGTGGTCAGACACTGGATCAGGTTGCCCAAGGAAGTTGTGGATGCCCCCTCCCTGGAAGTGTTTAAGGCCAGGCTGGATGAGGCTTTGAGCAACCTGGTCTAGTGGAAGGTGTCCCTGCTGATGGCAGGGGGGTTGGAACTGGATGATCTTTAAGGTCCCTTCCAATCCTAACCATTCTATGATTCTATATATCTCAGTATGGTTTTGTTCACAGTGAAGGTAACTACAAAGGATGACTCCTCATCAGTGTTTTCACCCATGCAAAGAAAAATGGACAACAAGCTCATAAACGCAAAATAAATGCCAGATAAAGTCACCAGTCCTTTTGGTGAAACACAGGAAAAGAACAAGTGCTTTTATGCCATGATGAGTACACACCTAATAAACTGTCAGAAGCCCTGCTGTTGTTTTAGTGGCCACTTACAATGTAAATAACCACACCATGGGATTTAATACACAATATTGTATCCCAGGATTTTAGGTAATTAACTCTGTATCGAGCTGCTTCATTAAGTCTAATCCAATCCAGCATACTTTGTTGTAGGTAAGATACTGTGTGGTTAAAAGACTTTAATTTATCCCAAGAAACATCGCATCAGGAAAGCTGCAAGGAGTTCTCTCTGTGATTTGTAATTTCATCAGATGCCAAGACCCAGATGACTTATTCCAGTGTTCTCCAAGGGTCTCTCAGTTGGCTGGTTAACACGAGTTCACAACTCTTCAGCACAGAGTGCCCAATTCAGTGAAATCTAAATGCTGTTTTCTCAAATTAATTACTTTATAGCTACATAATCCTGTAAGAGCCAACAAAATCCCATGCGGGCACAATTTTCTGTTTGTAGATACATCAACAGGTACTGAGCTATTACATGGGTAGCTTGGTACAATTTGATTTCTCTCTTCAAACCTCTTCAACTCCCCTCCACCCCCATTATCTGTATTGGTTTTATTTAATTGCTAGCAGGATACGGAAGTATCACATCATGCAGAAGTTTTCCCTATAGTTATCAAACTGTTAGACAGTATTTCACAAATGCAAACTACCAACCATTCAATGAAAGAAGCAGGCAATCTCTCACAATTTTGTTGTTTGAAGAGCTGTTGCTGTGCCTGTGGATACTCATGGACTTGGAAAGTCCTCTGACAGCCAGGCAGCTGAGCTTTACTGGAAACTACAACCTGGAGAGACTTTTCTTTCTCTCAATAAACTGTTCCCACACTGAGACAGGGCAGGTCATCGTAAGTGCAGCTTCCTCAAAATTCTCCTGATTTGCATCATGCATTTGGTAGCAAGCAAACAGGCCACAGACACACATCCTACTCTAGCTACAGCTACACCAGCTGCCATGGGTTACTGTCCGCAGCTGCTTGTGCCTGGCGACTTGCCAGAAGTTGCTTTCCCCTCAAATCTGTTTGCTGAGGTATTTATATAGTTGCTTCCTAACCCCTTCAAGAGCTTGACTGATGTGTAAAGCTCAAATGGCAGATTACAAATTTATTTTGTCTGAAGCATGTGAGGAACAACGACTTGAGCAACTCAGATGACAGATCAGGGAGAAGGAGGAGAAGAGTGAAGTTTTGGCAGGGAAATGGTAGTCAATGGCTTGGAGGGGACTTCCAGGCAGTTCATTTTTTGTCTATCTCAAAGAAACCTGTCACCATCATGGCTAAGTACCTTAAAGGCTGTTTCCAGGGTGTTTACTTCTTGACTGTTTCAACTTTAATTTTTGTAAACTAGTCTTCTCATTTTATTTGAATTTATTGTGCTAAACTTCTGTAGAGGTAAAAGGAACCATGCACCTCAGTCTACTTTGTTATTTCCAGGCTTAAAGCGTAACCTTGATTTTCCCATTGGCTCCCTTGGCAATGCGCAGTGCTCATCAAAGTGTGATTTGACTGCATGTCTAGAAGCAACACTGACCACGCCTTCCTTACATACTTAATCCTGCATTTACAATTTTAAAGTTAATGTAAAGAATATTCACATAGCAAGGTAACAGACACCTTGGATTATGGATCATCTTTTACTGAAAAATGTAACAAATGGACATAAGAAACATAGCACTACCACAGAAATTATGAATTATGGAAATATTAAGGCCTATAGTCTACCAAAGCACACGTAAAACTTATTTACCTATAATAAAATTATAATATACCAGAATTAATTGTGTTTCCTTGTTGCAAGGAAACTTGTTTGCTTAATAGTGTGAAACAGAGTTTCCAAGCCTAATTTCATGTCAATTATAAGGCAGTTTATAGGGAAGTCAAATTAGCACTGCACATCCTCTTTTAAATGCAGACTCATTTGTAGCTTGGTGTTTCCAACTGCATCTTTGGATAATCAAACCTGAAACTAAAACACTCTCAACTGCTCAACCCTTGTAGTTACAGCATGCCCTACTACTGAAATGGTCCTATGGTAAAAACTAATCGCTGAATTACATAAGAAAAGTTTCCCTACACCTGAATGTCTATATTGCATAAAGAGCGGGTCTTTCCTATCTGCAGTTCTCTACTGACTCTGACAACATCAAAGGTTTTAGAATATTGTTTACTGCCTTCAAACAGCTCTTAGTGCAAAGAGAACCCTTTGCTCTTTTCCTCCTAAGTCTCATCTCTGTACCCTTGGGTGGATGTTTTATTTTTGTCAGTTCTTCCCACAATTACCTCACCACTTGAAGTGTCAAGTTGTATTTAGTAAACATTAGTGTAACCCAGAGAGGCTGCAACTTACTGCAGTATTTGTATTACTTAAATCTCTTTTCTCTGTGGTAATGCTTTTAGGAGATAACTACCTTATATCATTTAGTAACAAGAAGTTAGCATGGTGACTAAAACAATACTGCAACACAATAATCTTTAATCTAAACTGATTATCACAAATACTAACTGAAGAAAAATGTGGTAACTTAAACACATCATACCTGCTTGAATTCTGAGTCTTTTCCCACCATGACCTGAAGACAGTAGATAACTGGATCACCCTTCATGGGCTGCAGAACCTCCCATGTGATTTCACAAGTGTGATCATTTATTCTCTCTACCCTTGGTGCTGAAGAAAGAAAACACAAAAGTGACAGCTAGCTCTGCTTTCTCCGTTACTTCACATTATATCCTAACACCTTGTAAAAGGAAAAGGTGTTCTGTGTTCTAGCTGCTATGCTGTCTGAGAGGAACAAAAGATTCAGATTGAAACATATCCTTCATACAATGCTTTCTGGAACAACAATTAACAATTCATGTAAGTCTCTATTGCTAGTTTAGGTATCATCCAAGAGAAAGCAAGTAAAATTTGGCAACTGCAAGTTTGTAACACATGCAAAAAAAAAAAAAAAGGAAAAAAAAAAAAAGAAGCTGCTATGTTTAAAATTATTCTAAACATGCTAGGAAGAATTTTCACCTCAAATTACTCTAACGGCCTGGTCACTCTCTCCTGGAAAGCAAGGATTCTAAATACAAACCTTCTTATGTCAAAGAATGCATAAACCCCAAGTCTCTCATTTCTGGAGACAACATTTTAGGCTTCAGGCAATTACACAAAAGGAGCATTCCCTTACTGTCCCTACCTGTACCTAGAAAAGAACTCAGCATTCTAAATACCCCAAATACAACACAATACCAAAACCAACTTGCCATCCCTCCACCCCCCAAATGAAAAAAGCACCATCTTTACCTTTCAAGGCAGCTGGAACAGATTTGGGAGTAGTGAAAACATATTCTTGAGAAAGGGGACCTTCACCAGCTTCATTACATGCCTGAATACAAAATTTGTATGATGTTGACTCACTGAGTCTTTGTACTTTGTATGTATGACATGGTCCTCTGTATAAGGATATAAACCTGAAAATGGAAATAATAGCTTATTTTAAACGCAGACAAGGACTTCTGAAGTAGCTACAGCATTGTCTTGAAACCTGTTCCCATAATTTCCCAGAATCTAATGAGAAGCCAAGAAATATTTATTTCAGAGTTAAACAGCGTTCTGGCATTACTATAAAAACAAGCTTGTTTTCCAGGGCCAAGCTTTTATTTCTCGTGTCTTTGAAATAAAATCTCTTTTCCACAAAGAGTAGTACAGACTGTCTCTTGGCAAAAATGATCTGAACCATTTTCAGAAACCCTTCTGCACTTGAAGCAATGGGAAAGGATAGCAGTTCCCTCTCCCAATGAGCTGCGTACATTACTTTTTTTTCCATGTACTCCCCCAACATCTTTAGCTTTTCAAAATCAGGCAACTATATTTTAGCTTTTTGCTCCTTTGCAACTCTCTCTCACTACACCTAAGAAAGGGCCATGGATCCACCTGCTTCTGTGCATTGTTGTCAGAAATGGGCGACTGATGAAGCTCACTCGGATCTGCACAGGAGGCCAGAGTCACACTTGTAGCACACACCAAGTCCCATTCTGAGAGCTCTGTAGACTGGCCACTCTCCTTCATGTTATAATTCTTACACAGACTGATCTTAGCAGCTCTCATTTGATTTTCAATTTTGGTATCCCCAGGACACAGCACAAGTTTATCTCTTTCTGCAGGGGTTGCCATCTACATCAACTTTTTCTTTTCTTTTAAATTTAAAACAGCTCGTACCTGCACATGACCTAGCCTTTGGTAATGGCAATTAATTTCTTTCCAGTTAAGAGTCTAATTTCTTTTCCTCCTTACAGCAGAGCAATTTTATCTAGCGGATCTATTTTGTCTCACTGTCAAGCTAAAGCTACTCAGAGATTCAAACACAGTACACAGTGTAGCAGTACTGTTCATTCTACCATTTAGGCAAGGGTACTTGCTGTACCATCTCAGCTTACTTTCCAATTTAACATGAGAGAAGGGATCCCTTAAAACAATAATTTCTACTATATGAGTTTATTTTGCACTAAGTGTAATTGCATATAAAGACAACAGAGAGTAAAGAATTCACCCCTTCAATATCAAGTATTTAAAATTTACAAGACTGATTACACTTGAAGCTTTCACAAAATACTTAAATAATGTGAGAGACAGAAAAGTGTGCTGGTACGAAACACTTAGTTAAACTCTTCATATTGAACTGTAAATAAAAAACTATTAAGTTTTTAATCTTGTACTTCCCAGCACAGAACACTGGAGTCCTTCTTGCCTTGCCAGATGAGACGACCTCCTATGTCTGTTGTAAATTCAGCAAAGCATGTGGAATTTTGCCCTTTGCTGCCATCTCCCAAGCATCACATCACAGTGATACAGGGCAGATTAAAGCGATGCCAAAACCAACCTTCCATTCTTATCCTCCATTTGAAGGTGGTACTGAATGGAGTCAGTTAATGATTTTGCAGTTCCCTCTCCCCATTTCAGCTTGAGAGTCTGAGAACTGTATGCAGCACACTCCAGGCGAGGTGGATCTGGTGGGAGAGGCTTTGTTTTCAGTTTTATGGTGTGGCTGAAAGGACCCGCTCCAAGACTGTTTAGGGCTTGAATTCGTACTCTAGTATTTGAGAAAAGAGAGAATAAATTAACTTGAAATTAGATTCTAAAAAATAACTGGTCATTTCCACCACTCACATTCAAGAGAGAATAACGGTACCAAATAGACAGCACTTTCTACAATGCTGACTTTTATCAATATTATGCTTTGATAGACTGTAATGAATATGCAGGAGTGTCACTTTCCTTTACACTTTTTAAGGAGCTGGATTGATTAAAAATAAAACCATATTAGCATATTTGTATCATTCACATTAGTGAAAAGATGCAAAAGCTTTATCAGCTACTTCAAGAGTGGTCCATCTTCCTGACCCTGCAGGCCTTGTACCAACATTTTTGATAGCCACAGTGGAGAGATGAGGGAAGATAAAAAAAAAAAACCCAACAAAACACCACCAAAAGAGGTGAATCCTTATCTTTGGCTATTATATCAGGTGAGTTCAAGGATGACTACAGGCAAGTGTTTTGGGCTTTTTGGAACAGATTCAATTCACGTGAAAATAAAGTGACAGTGCTCTTGCTGATTTCACTGGTAATACACCCCTGGGTGCCTGCAAACACAAGCCATCTTGGGTCTGCTAGAAAGGGATGGGGGAAACTAGAAGTCAAAGGACACATGGCTGAGGGGTTTGTAGAACTCGAAATTTAGGGATTTTTTTTTTTTTACACTCCATAGAAAACCAGGCTGGCATTAGGTTTACAAGTAAGAGTTAGAAGAACTAGCCAAGAACAAAGTGTGTCTAACCTCATTTTGCAGACTAACATTTGCTTGTCTAAAGTAGTATCTAGGTAACTGGAAATAATAATCACAATAATTAAATTCTGAAACAATCAACCACACAATTTCAAAATATTGACACACAAATGTGTGTGCAGGCTTATGAATAAATATTTCTACTCCACTACAGTAATATTTAACATGTTAATTTATTACAGCACAGAACTAAGGTTAATATATGCAATTTTTTATTTGCAGGAAGCGTTGACAGTGTATTCTATAAAAGCACTTTTGTGAGTAGAAGTAAATCTCTGCAGTAGAAGCTTCTTTTTTCCAGTCTGTTGACACAGAGAGCAGCGGCTCTTCAAATTGTCAGCGTTATTGTTAAAAACTTGTAAGGCACACTGAAACACTGTACTCTTACATACAGCATTTAAAAAGTAAAACCAAATCTTTATGGATGCTGAAAACTGCACAGCCAGATGATATTGTAACTACACTGAAATCAGTGTGGGCTTAAATTTTTACTGCAGTGGGACTGACATTCTCCTTTTAAGATTTTACACTGAGGACATGTTTTTTTAACATGAATGTGGAGTGCCTTCAGGCGGAATTATTGATTTTTACATTTATGTTTTTCAGTAGCCCTTAGGCCCAACATAAGGGATGATTTTAGTAAATAAAATTCTTCAAAAGAGATTTAAAATTTACTGATAGACTTTCAAACCAATATTCTTCATGCTGACTGCCACCCAAATACTTGCTATTTCTGCAGAAAAGGAATTGCAAGTTGCAATGAGACGTCACTAGATCTGACAATCCAGCCAATAAAGACTGGACATGGTCCTTCCTTGGATGGATTTTATCTTGTCAAACAGATTAGAGACCATCTATCTATGAACCAATCAGTCCAAAAAACAGGTATGAATCTCAATCTGTAATCTGAATTAAGTTAAACTGACACATTAACCAGACAGATACAACAGATCTACAGCAATAAACACACTAAAATATTTTTGCTTGAAAGAAAGTAAAACCAGAAAAGCTCATCTACTTATGAAGATCATAATTACAAAGCTTCCTTTTCCTCCATGGCTATGTACTAATACTTCTCTGAGAGTCATGTAGAGAATAAAAAAATTAAGGAAACAAACGAATAAAGAATCTGCTCTTGTGGAAGAAACAGTAGGCTGTCAAGCCGTGCATCGCATACCTGTAGGTAGTATCTGGCTGTAAGCCATCTATAATATAGCTTAGAACCTTCCCAACAGTTATTGGCTGCTTATCTCCAAAGTCTATGCTGTAGCCAAGGATTTCAGATCCATGGTCACAAGGTTTTTCCCAGCTTACAGCAAGGCATGTGGAAGGAGAATAGTGTGGACTTTCAACTTCATCTTCACTTAGTCCCTGAAGAGAAGTCACAACTGCAGGTACAGAGGCTGGAGTCATACATGCCACTACTTCACTGAAAGGGCCTGCACCTGCAACATTCACTGCCTGCAAATGCAAAGCAGACCATGTTTTTATGGCAACGGCGATTCGTGTTTCCAAATTTCAATAACAATAGTTTTGAAGTCTTTACCTGAACCCTGCAATAGTATATCGTGGCAGGCAAAAGCCCTTTCATTTCACAGTTGAGCCCAGGCCCACAATAAGAGATCTGCATGCATCCTTCCACACCGCCCCACTCCAGTCGATACTCTGTGATGTCAGCTCCGTTACACACTGGAACCTTTAAATGGATACAAACAGTAAGAGGTTAAATTCACTGACTGAAAAAAATTCAGCCAAACTCACCACATCTATATTGTTTTTCACAGGAAAGTCACCTTCCTATTTCTTTGCTGATTTTTAATAGCTGGGGGAAGAAGAAGGAAGAGGGGGACATTTGAATTGATGGTGTTTGTCTTCCCAAGTAATCATTACACGTGATGGAGCCCTGCTTTCCTGGGGAGGGCTGAACACCTGCCTGCCCATGGGAAGTAGCGAGTGAATTCCTTGTTTTGCTTTGCACAGCTTTTGCTTTACTTAATAAACTGTTTTTATAAATAAAAAAAAACCTGTTTATGATTAAAACCAGCCTGAGGTACTGAAACGATGCAATAAGGTCTCCCTGGAGCCTCCTCTTCTCCAGGCTGAACAACCCCAACTCCCTCAGCCTTTCTTCATAGGAGAGGTGCTCCAGCTCTCTGATCATTGTTGTGGCCTCCTCTGGACCCGCTCCAGCAGGTCCATGTCTCTCCTGTTTGGTTCTGGACAGTTATGTAACTTGGATACTTCACTCCAACTCAAGCCACTGAAAAGCTGTGTTTAAACAGTATTCCCAGACAGAATCTTCCTTTTTACCAGCTTAATTTTTATCTATTGCATTTTTTTAATCAGATATGTAAATACTATGGGTTAATAGGAAGTCTGTGAGGCTTTTGCTACATTATTATTGATGTAATTAGGTAAAATTAAATCAGCTTATAAAAACAGCAAATGTACAATAATGTATTGCATTATGTGAATGTATTTGCTCTGAGGAAAGATAATTACATTAAAGAAAATTTTCAAGAAGAGTCTGCATCACTCAGAAATGCAGTGCAGCAGTTGTGGCAAAACTCTTAAGCAAAAGAAGAAAGTAAGATCTCAAGTATCTGCAGGCCGTCAACTCACAGCTGTCACATAACGTATGATGAATGACTTTAAGGTTTTACCTACCAATTACTGGTTAATCAGGTAAGTATGTTTAAAAATGTGATTAAAATACAGTCTTGAGCTTTTAAAGTTGAACTTAGAAATGTAGAAGACAATCATGTTAAGATAGGTGTAACATGGCATTCTTACCTCCCACAACACCTGAGCACATGCAGCAGATCTGCATGCCACTTGAGGGGGCTTGCACTGATCTGGTGGTCCAGGTGCTGTAGTTATTTCACATTTTTCCGAATAAGGTCCAAACTATTAAAAAGGGAGTTGATACAACTGATTTGTAAAAATAAAATTACTACTTTTTAAGTAATAGTTTACCATAGTAGGAATATATAACAGCAGCCTGAAACTTTGTATTACTTGCTTATAAAATAAATCTTTGTGGACTGTGGATTCAGGATTTATTTCAGTATCTGACTATTATCCAGAATAGCGGCAAGACTCTTCCTTCTCTATAGCAAATGCAATCAGAATAAATTTAACACTTCAAACTCTCAGGCAAAACAGGAGAGTCCTATACAAATCCTTATTTTGAAGTTACCTGATGGCTGCACTGTAACATAACACAATTTGTAACTGTCTATTTATATCTATCTAAGAGAAATAAAGGATTCAAAAAATGCTTGAGCTGTAAACCACTCTTTGCGGGGGGTCAATAAAAACTTAGGTCACTGCTTTAAAGTCTTAAGCTGCAGATCTCTCCACAAACAGTGTCAACTGGTCATGATAGTTTTCATGAAGAGAACGTTAATGAACAAATGCAAGTAGCCCTGCTTCTCTGTCTTTAAATCAGGACTTTGGATACATAACTAAATAAAGCTTATTCTACAGCAACAATTATTTAAACACATTTAATAACCCAAATAGATAAAATATTTTTGCATCTGATAAAACCTGTACTCAGAAGTTAAACTAAATATAAAAAAGAGTCGCAGAATCATGGAATGGGAGGTGTTGGAAGGGACCTCTGGAGATCATCTAGTCTAACCCCCCTGCCAAGGCAGGTTCACCTACAGCAAGTTGCACAGGAAAGCGTCCAGACCGGTTTTGAACATCTCCAGAGAAGGAGACTCCACAACCTCTCTGGGCAGCCTGTTCCAGTGCTCTGTCACCCTCACTGTAAAGAAGCGTTTCCTCATGTTTAAGTGGAACCTCCTGTGTTCCAGTTTGTGCCCGTTGCCCCTTGTCCTATCGCTGGCCACCACTGAAAAGTCTGGCCCCATCCTCTTGACACTCGCCCTTTAGACCCAGCTCTCTCAGTCTATCCTAGTAAGAAAGATGCTCCAGCCCCTTGATCATCTTTGTAGCCCTCCGCTGGACTCTCTCCAGAATTTCCCTGTCTCTCTTGAACTGGGGGGCACAGAATCACAGAATGTCAGGGATTGAAAGGGACCTCGGAAGATCATCTAGTCCAATCCCCCTGCTGGAGCAGGAACCTAAATGAGATCACATGCTGGACACAATACTTCAGATGCAGCCTCACAGGGCAGAGTAGAGCAGAAGGAAAACCTCCCTCCACCTGCTGGTCACACTCTTCTTAAGGCACCCCAGGATACCATTGTCAGAAAACACTAATAATTATGTTTTATAACACCACCAGCAGTAAGAATAAAGGACAATCAATTTACAAAGTTGTATACAGAAAATAATTTACTACCTTACTTCACATGAGAATATTAAAGCTGCAACAATTTTCTGATAAAATACTTGGCATTTCCTAACCATTTCCCAATGTTATTATTCAGATACAATACCTTATTAGCTATTTTATCTTCTCTTCATCTAAAACCTCCTTTACTATAAACTGAGGTTTAACTGTCTGTTCCCATACAACAATAAGCTATGTGAACCAAATGACTCTACATTAGGAAATACTAATTTTAAAATTACTGCTAAATCCTTCTTTAAAAGAGAAGATCCTGAATAGTGATTGCAGTCTCTGCAACTAATTTCATTTCAGACCACCTCCTTACCCCAGCCTTGTTAGCCGCTCGCAGTCTGAAGTTGTACATCCTCCCTGGAAGAAGGCTGCCTACTGTGCATTCAACATCAGAGCCTTGGTAAACCTCTCTGTGTTCATCAGTTTCTGTCTGAGACATTTCCAGACCGTAACAGGTAATGGGTGAACCACCGTCTACCTGAGGTGGTCCTAAAAATAAGAAAGAAAGAAAAGCTTATTTAATTTTAACACATAACACATTTGGATCCCTTACACTCAGCAGCAGTTGTAATAGAATTACCCCAGCGCAGCTGAACTTCTCTTGCTCTTGGTCTACCCTGTAGCCTTGGAGGCTGGCATGGACCAGGAACCACTGCTGGTGTCTGCACTAGTAAAGGATCGGATGCCTACAAAGGGAAGATAGATTAATGAAGTCATCTAGGCCAAAACAGGCGCTATCAGTTACGCCACAAGTAAAGGCAAATACTTGAGTCAGAAACAGGATCTTCCATTTTTTGAACTACATCATCAAACACGCAAAGATGCTTAAGTGATCTGGAATGTATTTCTCATAATACCTACATAAAACATGCTACAGTAATCACACAATATGCAAAATTAACTTTGGCTTTTGGGTTTTGGTACACATGCAAGGGGTAGAACTAAAAACAGTAGTTAGGTATCAGTACAAACCTAGTACAGATGCTTGAAATATGACTTGTTCAATGTAAACTCATTCTCTTCTCCATCAAACTGCAGTTTAATGATTTCTAAGACTACTCTAAGGGTTGTATACATTCTGTGCAAGAACCTCTCAAAAAGCAAAAGCAGGCAAAAATGTCAATCAATCAGAAGAGATTAAAAAAAAAAAAAAGATTTCAACTTTTTCATTGTTGATTAATACTTAACATGTAACAAACTTCCAGCTCTGATTTGAAGTGCATACAAAAATACACAGCATAACAACATGGCAGCAGATGGCATTGACTATTCTGGATGCAGACAGAAATGAGTCAGAGACAGTGTAGGGTTATCGGCTTCAGTGTGATACAGAACAAATACAAAGTTGGTAAGCCTTTCAGTTCACAAGAGAGATGCATCTCAGAGTCTCATTCCACAACTGCTTTCTACATATATTCCAGAAAGAGTGGACTGGAAGCTCTGTCGCTTTTCATTTCCTTTAAAATGTACTGTTGCACTGGACAACAGATGCTACTTGAAAAGCAGAATTTCTGTTTCTCAGCAGGCATATGTCCATGACAAGCTATAGACATTTTATTACATCTTTCTTTACTATTCTTCTGTTGATTTCTGACACCTTCAGAAGGTATCTTCTCTTTGGTACTGAAATAATGTTTATTCTAAACCAACGGGGTTGGCCAGTGGGGAAGGAGGTTGGCAGAGCAAAAGTCTCCAAAGACATGCATGCACTTGTGGTTATGTGACTAGGAAGTATTCTGCCTTCCTGCTTCCCCTGTAGAACAGAAAGCTGAGCTATGGCAAGAGGAAAAACACTGCAGCAGAGCCAGCACTGGAGAAGTCCAGATTTATTCTTAACACAAGGTGGCTGTGGGCAAGGCTATCTTTGCAGGAGACTTCTATGTGGAGGAGGAACACATGAATTTCATATAGTAAAGGGGGACTGGGGAAGAAATGGCAAACACCAAGAATGCAAGGCTTAAGGATTTTCAGGAGATCAGCTTGACAGTGAAGCCCCGCTGGAAGTCTGCTGAGAGCCAGGGCTGGCTTTGTTACACTTGCTCCTGGGAAGAAGGCAGAAGAAGACAGCATGATATTTTGGCACTGGAGGCTGAACTACACCACAGAAGTGATAGTGCAAGTGTGTGTGTATGTAATATGAATGTTTGAGAACACTGAAAAGTAGAGCAATGTAAACATTTTGATTGTGGCTGAGACAGTATGGGAAGAAACTATGGAACACAACCCTGTAAAACCTGAGGAAACACCCCACTGACCACATGGAAAACATTACATTTATACTGCTGTCTTGGGTCAGGCCTTAAGAAATAACATTCTATCAACATATTACACGGGAAAAGACACAGTATTTATGTCTGTAAAGAAGAAAAATTACTTTAAACAAAATATAGTATAAAAAAATAATATTCACATGTATTTCTTTAAGAAATGGGCAGAAACTTCTGTATCACTTCTGTACAATATTTGCTTAGTAACTACTGGATTAGATTTTCTTAAAAGAGATAAATTTTATTTAATAAAAATATTAGCTCATATTACCGTGCTTTGTCCTCCTTCCCCAACACAATATACACGTAAGCGATAGGAACAACCAGGATTGAGTCGGTCACACACATGTTCCCTGGCAACTCCACTGTATATTGTGTCCCATTTGTTTCCTGAAAGGTTAAGAATAAGTGTGCAATGAATGAAGGTGTAATTTGCTACACTTCAGTACTAGCCACAGCAGGTATCCTGGCATCACTCAATAAGTGTGTGCCTGATATTTACAAAAAAAATTAAGTCCTGCTTTGAGTTTTCTGGAAAAAGATCCAAGCATTTAATAAAGGAAGTTTCCTAGGTAAATATGTGTAGATCTGCAGAAGTCAAGTATCTTCCTGATTTGGTATTCACATTAACTAAGAGAGAATTTACTTTTTATGAAGCAGTTATTACTGGGCCAGCAAGCACAGTCAAATATCATAACCAAATAAACAGGAAAAGATACAAAAGCAAAAGTTTCCACAGAAAAGAAACTTAATTACAACATTCATTTTGCGGATTGTGATTACAGTTTACAATTGATAAAGCTTGTTCCTGTATTCTTGGATGACGCAGCACCACCTGAACTACTGGTTTCACTCTTTGCTGTCCAGACAGATTCTTAAATCAGAAACTCTTTAGCATTCTCTCTCTCTTTTTAAGAGATTAAGTAGGGAACTTGGAGACTTTTAACTAAATCTCCAACAACTCAATGCATCACAGAATTTGGAGGCCCAGGAATGAAACATAATGCACAGCTCACTAAATCTGCATGAAAGGCTCGGGTAAATCATTCCAGAAGTGACTTAATGTGAACACATGATGGAGTAAGGAAAGTGACAGATAAAGTATCAAAAGATCCACAGCTGAGGCCCCTGACAGGGCTGCCATTACAATCTGGTGACAGTGTGCTGTCTTGATCTGACGCAGCACTAGAGAAGTATAAACTTTCATTCTTGATGTGACTGTTTTTCTGAATTTAATAAGGTTACTGAAAACATCTAGATTTTTATATAATTTAGCTAGGTAGCTTTATGTCCAGTTTAGAAATACTGTTAACTTTACTTTTTTTGTCCTTTCATACAGAAGGCAACAGTAGAAACAGTTAGCCCAACTGCATCATTGTTCTCCTTTAAGAGTGATCAACAGAGCACTAGCTTTTCTTTCATCTATCACACATCCAACAAAGCTATGTGGCCCTGTCTTCTTGCCCTATAATGTCTGAAATATGTAATTTAACTTCCAAAACAGACTACATCTAATTAGTAAGTTAAACATCTCTTTTGATAGTTTTGTGGCATCTTCTTTCTAAGCCAGAGAAAAAGAATCTCTTGTATATAAGCATTAAGATCTCTATTTTTTTAATGGCAGTCCCTTGCAGTAACTTCCCCTATCATAATACACATAATTCTACTCTTCCCGCAGGCGCACACAGAAAAAAGAACATGTAAAAAGAATGCCAACATAAGCTCCTACTACTTACCACTTAGGCCTTCAGACATTTCCACAACGTATGTATTTATTGCTGCTCCTCCATTGTCTTTTGGAGGATCTATAAAAAAAAGCAATATTCCAACCAAGTGAGGTAAAGTAAATGGGTTTGTAGCTTTTGGGGAGAATTTACAAAAGGCAAAATCAACAGTCAACTGGAGACGACTGCTTATTTGTACAGAGAGGATCCTAGCTAGCCATAGCATCCTAGTTCAGGACAGCCACAGATCACTCAGATTCTCCACTACGTGGAGCTGCCAGCTCACAACCCTATTGAAAACTCTACAGATGAAGAGTGACAAGTGAATCAGCCACCTGGGAGATGCCAGAGCAAACATTTCAGTTGGTCTGAAGTGCCTTGGAAGGCTACCTCATTATGGTTTCAGGGACATAGATCCTAATGGTCCTGTAATTTGGAGTGCAGATTTTCATATAAGAATATTTCAAAATGATTTAAGGACAGGACTTCAAAAACGTAAATATTTTGGAAAAGAACAGAAGTCAGGAGTACTACACTGAAAACTTAATCTCTAAAATTTTCAATACATCACTAGAAATTGAGTGCACTGTCTTCCCCGATACAGTATTTGTGTAGAAGGTACAAACCTACAGACTTATCTTTGACATATAATCCTACTGCTCTCTCAGAGCTGACTTAAGAGAACAGTAGAATTAAAATAATGGGGAAAATCAACATTTTGGACAGATATAAAGACAGCACGATACTTCAATACAGAAGGGTACTGCTGCTGTAACATTACATTGTGTATGTGCTGGATGAAATGGTGTTGGCTCTTAGGCAAGGGTTACATATCGCATCACAGCTGCTAAATAAAATGAGACTTATTATATGGAACATAGTGCTTTTTTGGCTGGAAGATAACAAATTACTGCAGATGAAAAATAAAACTATCACATTAATTATCACTTACTGAAAAAAGAGAGTACTACTGTTCAAAATAATGACTATTAAAGGTTTTATATATAAATATATATTTTAGATAGCTTTTGATTTACAAATTAGGTATTTCTAGTAACTCCATCCATAAAAAATCAAGTATCGGGCCCTGATGTAGGGGCTGAGTACTGAGTTGTTGAGTACTACTTATAATCTACAAGTGACTTTCTTATTATTAATGCAAAAGAATTAAACACACTATTAAACAGAAATAGGCAAGAAGTTTAATTACCTGTGACAAATAAAACCTTTAACTGTTTGATTTTTTGTTAAAGTACTGTATCACACAGTACTGTGTCACCTTCTCCTATTTCACAGCATAAGGCTAAAAACACCTGAGCCTAAGAAAAAGTTTCTCAGGATCCTTAGCGGAAAAAAACCCAGTTAGCTATCAAAACCAAACACTTTGAAGAGACACACTGAACCTGGATCCTCTCTTTTGATAAAACCTCATAATTTCATGGCATCAACTTTTTATGCCAGAGAAACAGACCTTCTTAGTATACAAATTAGCACTACTGTTTTTTTAATTATTGCAGTTCCCTGCAATAACAGTCCCTACTACAATCTGCATATTATTCTTCCCATGTAATTGCACTACTATATTGCCACCCTAAGTATTTTGAATCAATATTTTTCTTTTAGTTCCATGAAAATGGATTATAATTGCTCAGCTAACTGAAGTGTTACTGAAGTAAAACCTGGTCTTCTATATACAAATATATATATATATACACACACACACACACACATATATATGTAAATATAGAAATATATATGACAAGAGGACATACTCTAAACAGAACTAGACAACAATCTTACCCCAGATTATTTTAAAACTCTGTGCATGAATTTTTCCTTTCACTGTGGGTTTTGAAGGTACTCCAGGCTTGTCTGGACAAGTTATGTATTCTACTGTCTCACTTGGACTGCTTTTCCCTTCTGAGTTATAGGCAATGACCTGCAAATATATAAAACATATTATAAACAGAACAAACACACTGGCTAGTGGTACGTTATTCACTGTTAATGGTAAGGGTCAAATTAATTTATATGCATGCTTAGACAGATCGCTACGTAATAAATTATCACAAGAACTAAAGCTATTATATATCTTTATTTTACATTTTCATTAGTCCCATAGTTAGACAATCACTACACTGAAATTAAAAATTCCTGCAAATTGCCAGCAAAAAAACGAAAAAATCTTTAAAAAATCCCAAACCTCTAGTATTTGTGAAGCTGAAAAAAAAAATTATTTCACAAATCAAATAACCTTCCACATCACCCAAATGTCAAATGTTGGTGCATAAAATTAGGCTTCCACTTAGGACACTAAGAGTTGTCTGGCTGTAAAAGGTAATCAGGACACGCAAATCTCAGTGACATTAATAGAATCTGTGGGTTCTCAATGTAGCACAAACCACTTTATTTCAAATCAAGGATCTGAAAAATTGTTTTTTTAAAACCATCTAAGATACTCAAATTACATAGGTCTAAGAACAGCTCTTTTTTATCATGTTGCACAATTTATTGATAATGAAATATATGCATGAGAAAAAATCTTTATAAAAGCATGAAAACAAAATAGGATGAAAAAGACATACCACAAAGAGGAACTTGGAAATATTAAAATTTTAATTGCAATTCCCTTCCCATGGAGGTAAAAATATTTTCATGTAATAAAGAAAAGAGCAAAAGGTGATGTTTTACTAACTGCTAAAGACTCTTGAATAATTGTGATGAATTAAGTAGAGCTCTCAAACAACTATAGCACCTTCTCTTAAGGAAATACACTCAAAGAGAAAAAAAAATGTTTATATGGGTGAGTTATATTAACAACAACTAAAGTGATATAAACTCTTCAGTTCCAGGGAAACTTATGGCAAATCTTGTCATGGAAGTTATTTACAGGCACATGAAGGACAAGAAGGTAATTAAGATTTATCAAAGGTAAATCATGTTTGTCCAACCTGAGTGCCTCCTATGATGAAACAACTTGCTCAATAGATGAGGGGAAAGCTGTGATTTTAGTTTGACATCGTCTCCCAAAACTTCCATGTAGACAAGCTGGTAAGATATAGACAGAACAGATGGACCACAAGATGGGTATGGAAAACCTGACAGAATGCCAGTCTCAAAGGGTGCTGGTTAATGGTTCGAAGGCACATTAGTAGCTATTCATGAGTGGATTTCCTCAGCAATCAATACAATGTCAGATACTACTCAATATCTTTAGAAGTGATCTGGATGACAGGAGTGAATGCACCTCCCTTGTATATGACACCAAACTAGGAAGAGAGAGAGATATTCTGGAGAGAAGAGCCACCATACAGACTTTGACAGGCTGGAAGATTGCATCAACAAGAACTGCATGAGCTTTGACAAATGTAACTATAAAGTCTTGCACCTGGGATGGAACAATTCCAGCAGCAGTACAGTCTGGAGTCTGACTTGCTAGTCAGCTTTTTTTTTTTCAGCTCTGCTGAGAAACACCTTGGGATTCTGGTGGAGAGCAAGCCAAACAAATCAGCAAAGCGTCCTGGCAGTAGCAAAGACAAATTTTTTTTATGGGCTGCAAGAATTTAGCCAGGAGAACAAGGGATATGATTACGCCGCTTTACTCAGGACTTCTTAAGCCACGCCTGGAATACTGTGTCCAGTTTTGGTCCTCCCAGTTCAAGAGACACACTGGGAAACTGAAGAGAGTCCAGAAGAGGGCCAGCATGATGATTAGAGGGTTGGAGAACCTGACACAGGAAGAAAGGTTGAAGAACTTGGGTTTATTCTGTCTAAGAAAAAATAAGTTTCATTCTAATCACAGCCTTCCAATACCTAAAAGGTAGTCAGAGATGAAGATACTGTCTTCACAAGGACCTATGATGACAGGACAAGAGACAGTAGGCACAAAGTGTGTTAGGGAAAATTCTATCTGGATATAAGAAAAGAAACTAATCACCATGAGAACAGGCTGCCCAGAGAAGTGGTGAAATCTCCTTTGCTGGAAATACTGTAAGTCACAGCTAAAGAGGGCTAGGACAGGGTTGACTTGCCTAACCTAAGACCCTGCTTTCTACACAAGTTTGATCCAGATGATCACCAAAAATCCTTTCCAACCTAAACTTTTCTGTGATTCCAGGAAAACAAATTGCTGCTATTCTTTATTTTCTAGTTGTGCTTGCAGTTAGTTTACTACATTTTCCCACTTATTCCTAGCGAAAAGATAAACAACATTAAAAAAGGGGGTTTTTTTGCTTTTATATTTGTTTTTAAAACGAGCAGAATCAAAACAACAGCAGTATTGTTAGCACAGATTAAGAAAAGAAAATGTGAGCTAATGTCTCTCAGACATTAAGTCTCCTGATACAATTTAGAAGATTAACAATCATATGGTTATCTTTGTGCCCTTACAAATGAAGTTAAACAGGCACAGTTAACATTTACGTATTATAATAAGGTTTCAAATGGTTATAAAGCTTCATTCAAAAGCCTTAAGGAATATTACTACTAATTAAGTCTTTCCCCTGTATAATAAAAATTAAAGACCTGATTAACACAACATTGGTTTTTTCTTTATGCCCTGTGAATGAGTGAACAGAGACTTCAGTTTACTGTTTCATTAAGAAAAAGAGGGTATAAACATTGATTTTTTTAATTTTAATGAGCAACCTGGGATAAGTTAACTAGATATTTAGTAGTAATGTGTATGATTAACATGTAGGATTACTTTCAAAAGAAGACTGTGATCAAGTCCTGCAAAAGCTAGTTTCACGGTAATTAGTGTTTCTTTAGTTTAAGTTCATGTGTGGTCATAACAGTGCTGGTTTGGTTCAGTCCTCGGAATACAAGGTATATTTTAAATTATTTAAATATTAAGTTATGTAAAATAACCCAAGCAATATAAGATTAATTCCCATCATAACCTTTTCTGCTTAAGAAAGTAATCATACTCAGAAGTGCAATATATCTGCTATCATTGGAAAAAGAGTATTTATACGTTTTACTCAAAACCAACCAACCCACCCTTAAACTGCTGCCTTTCACACTGCAAAGAGATGCTGCTCTTCAGCACCTGTCCTGGCCCAGAGATTGATGTGGGTTGAGCCCTTGCAAGAGGCCACAGCCCAACCCTTCCTCCATCACTGCTGGGTTGACACATGCCTTCGTCATAGCTACTTGATCCTGTAAGCTGGGGTCCAGCTATGCCAGAGGCAAAGAAGGTATTGAGAACCTCTGCCTTATTGGCACTGTTAGTAACTTGCTTCCCTGTCCTGTTTAGCAACAGGCCTATATATGTCTTCCCCATGTTTCTGTTTCCTGCTCACATATCTGAAGAACTCTTTCTTGTTGTTCTTGACATCTTTGGCCAATTTCAGTTATAGCTGATCCTCAGCCCTCCTGAGTGCATCTCCGCCTGTCCTAGCAAGGTTGTTGTAGTCCTCAATGGCTATTTGGCTGCCTTTCCATAGTTGGCATGCTTCTTTTTTATGCTTTTAACCACACCCATAAGGTCATTGTTAAGCCAGACTTTGTCCTGAGCTAACAAGTTCAGCCCTCAAGACTTATTAGAATGGGCTCAGCACCATAGTAATATGAATTACTTACTAACTTGGGCTCAGTGCTATGCTAGCACTAACAAATGTTCTTTTGATTAAAGTTGGTCCCTACCTCAACAGTTTCAGACATGTTTAGAGTCTAAAGAATCCCATCACTACACTAAGAAATATTACCTGTGTATATGCAACACAGAAGCCAAATAAAAAACCCCAACTGTTAAGAACATTGACTTATGACCTGGAATTTCAAGGTACATGCAACTGCATTATGCCTTTGCAGAGGTTCTTACTCCTGCAGAGTCAATCAATGAAGCGGGTGTTCAGATCATAGTTTTAAGAGACTGAAATTGTAAGAAACTGGCATCAAATTTGGTTTTCCCTAAAAAAGGCCCTCCCCACCTCCAAGTCAATCTCAGGCTACTCTGGTGCAAAAAAACCTCAAACCAAATATATGAAGAAAACTTACCCTAAATTTGTATTTTGTACTACGCCTCAAATTCTTCACTGTGTAGGTAAGGTCGTCACCATCATATTTTGGCTTGAAACCATATCCCTGCAGAATTAAATAATTAATTAATAAACCTGATAATTAATTAAATTATTAAATTATTAAATTAATTAATAAACCTGAAACACTGTATTTGCAGATCAGACCATGTAAAATACTTCACATAGATCATTGTTGCAGACTGTAATTGTTATGCTCCTCTGACAAAATATAATAAGTGCACCTTTATTGTGTAAAGGTAAGATTTTTTTTTTTTTGAGAGGGGAAAATTAATTAACCAGAAGAGGAGAAAAGTATAGTGAAGAAAAACATATGCAGTGTCAACAGAAATTATACCTAATACTTTCAAAGGACACAGGACTCATTTTAAAACAAAGGTGGTTATGCTGAAATGACATTTAGAGGCACCACACTTCATGATGCAACTACTTTGATCCAGCTGTTAAAAGGCTTAACTTTCACATGCAAATTCATAAAATCAAAAGTAATTTAAAAGTCTCTGCAGGATTGGGGCTTAATAACACTAATAACAATTACTGTCACAATAAAAAGGAGAAAGCTGTGTGGCTTGGTTACAGCAATGCCAAGTCATTAGCTTAATTTCAGAAAATACAGTTCCTTGTAGAATATTCTAGCAAATGTAATAATTGTTACACTTAATACAATAATGTATCAAACACACACATTACAGTCTTTTTTCTTATTGAGAATAAGTATTCTAAACTTACTGAGTTCTCATCCTCCATCTCTAATATATACGAGATTCCTTCATCTGATGGTGTTCCTGAGGGTTTTGTCCACTGTAGGGTTAACCAAGTAACTCCAGCATTAATCAGCAAAGGACTTGCTGGTGTGGTTGGGGCAGTGCCTGAGGTATGATACAGGACTTCTTCACTAAAACCACTGTTTAAAACAGACAGTAGGTAAACTAACTAGACACAACAATTAATATCTACAAAAATATAATTCTTACTAAGCACAGCTATGACAGTTTCGTGGACACGCGCACAACTGGAAATTGCAAGCTGGTACATGCAGATGACTTAACTTGTCCGTGAGTCTGTCAGTAATAAAATGTCTGAACAAGGTTAACAAGTTCATAATTGAAAGATTCCTTTGTATGATATAATTACATTGTTTTGCTAACCAAAACATTTTGCTTTTTCATATTAATTCATTATTCTAAAACAGCAGAGCTCTACATGCAATAATGTACAAATACCACAGTGTCCTTCCTATTCAAATGAAAACATGAAGACATAAAAGCATATATGGGAAGGCCTCAAAAACATTTTTTGCTTCCCAGGCAGTGATTATGTGCTTCAAGAATACCGTGATGTACTCGTTTCTCTAGTGCTTCAGAAACTAATAAAATAATAGCCTCATTCAATGATAAGTTACTTTAAGAGCTGCCAGTATGAAAGTCTTATTGCAGAAGAAATGAAATAGAGTGTACACCAGTGAATCTCCCAGCACAACTGTTAACCTTATCTGATGACACTTAGATATGCCTTGAAGTGAAAATACAAGTTAGTTACATAAAAAGACCTATTGTGAAACTGAGGGATACAAAAAGTCAGTTAAGAGGTACTATGCTTGCACAGATGGTCTAACATGTATCCAGGTAGACTGAAAAAACCCCACCTGTTCTCAGCTGGCATTTGCTGCTTCTACATCAGATCTGAGGAAACATGTACAGGCTTAAGAGCTAGTCTGTTTTGTTTAACCATATGAAACTAATGTCAAAGATGTAATTTTAATCTAAAACCTAGGCATTACTTAAGTGAGCATCAGGGAGCCCTGAAAACAAAATTCTCCATCTGGATTAAACAACAGCAGCAGTTAAGTATCTCGAGTCGGAACTTGACTTGCCTGAAAAATCTCAATATAAAGAGATCTCAATTTCACTTTCTGTCTTACTGAACTTACACTACAATAATGCATCAGCTGTAAATTTTGGTCTGCTCTAAAGTCTTTTCAGCATCAAAAAACCCTCCAAAAACTCCCCCAAAACCAGACTTACAGACAACACTTTACCAAGAGTGTTGATATGTCCCAAAGCAGACATGAAATAGTTTGTGAAGCAGAAAGTGAAAAAGTGCAGAACAAGAGAAAATTTTTTAAGTTTGGGGGGGAATAGTAATTTTTTTCCTTGCAAAAAGTCACAAGTGAGAAAATCTCTGAAATGAAGAAGATGTGATACATACAACATACCTACTAAAAATATTTTTAGCATTTTATTGGTAGGCTAGAGAAAGCATGAAGAGAAGCTAGATAAATACTAAGCCTATCTCTACTCACAACAAACTACTGAAGGAATCACCTTACAAGCAGATATAAGGTAAAAAAATCCAACACTTTATAAAGATTTAATATCTTTTCCTCGTTGAACCACTCCAAAAGACACTGAAATAAACTAAAAGAGTTCCAGTGATACCCACATTTAAATGACTCTTAAACAATTCACTTAGAAGTACAAGAATGCTCTCTATCTTTTAAATAATTTTGTTTTTCCATATTTTAGCCACTGTTTCATATGTTGTTAGAATTAAATTTAAACATATGAGTAACTCAAAGATAAAATATCTGGTTTTGTTGGTAAAATTATTTAGACAAAATTCTGTCTCCAGATGCCTAAGGTTCTCAACATTCTTCATATGGTATAATCAGGCACTCTACCCTAATAAATACTATTTCAAGAGACTTCTTAATTAAATAATATCGTAAAGACAATAAAGTGCATCTTTACAAGGCTATGAAATATTGATTTTAAAATCTATTCAGCGTGATTAGTTTAAGAAGGGTACTTAACTGATCAGTGTCTCTTCTACCAGCTTACTCTGCAGGAGTCTAGTACGTGCAGGTATTCCTACAGGGTGTGTCTGCACTCAGATGTAAAAGGGGAACAGGAAGAAAGCCCAAGCACCGGACCCTGCTTAACTGCCAGCTCACTCCCTGCCTTTATTTTTTTGAATAATTCCACCTGAATCTCATCAAGACAAAGTCCAGGAGCAACTCAGAGAACAATTCATTCCAGAAACATAATCTAGAAGGCAGTAAAATAATAAAAACTGTGTCAGAGCACACAAAGTCATCCTAGCCCATTACAGTGTCCTCTGACAGTGGCCCAAAGCAGGTGCCTAAGGAAAGACATCGGACTATATGCAGCGCATTCCCCAAGTACTCTCCAGAGCCTCTCAACACATGCCTCAGATCTCCTGAGCCAGCTGTAGTTTTCACATACAGAAGATTTCTTCTGCTCAGCATGAATGACAAGCCCAGGTCTGGCTCTCTATTCTTTATGCTGTCCTTCAACACGGATCCTTCAAGTACCTCCTTGTGCCAGCTGAAGGACACACAACACACCCGCTCTATTTCATGCTATAAAAACACCACTTTGGCAAGCTGCAGCACAATGCTCATAATTCAAACACTGAATTAAAAAACAAATGCAAAATAGCAATTCTAGGCTGATGGCTAGAAAAGCTCTGTTTTTATGCCATATAGAACCTCAAGGTCCAACTGCTACTAGGTAGTGTGGACACTGGCAGTTTTCTCTAGAGAGGAAGAGCCCTGTTAGTATGACTATTAGGCAGGTTTATTCACTTTGCCTGAAGACCAAGAAGCATTCCCAAGAACTAAAGCACCCAGTAGTGTAATCATAACTTCAGAAACCAGTAATTTGGGGCTTTTTTTCCAAGTTCTTACTTATATTCTCGACTGAAGTCAGATGTCATTCATTCAGCAATTCAAAACAAAGTTTGGTGCTCTATAACTTCTGAAAAGTAGCAATTAATAGTAAGAACGACGTCCTAAGCTTTCATAATAAACTCTAAAACTTCAGAAGAATTTAATGATAAGGCAGTGCCATATTCTGACTATTTCCCAGGACAACAAGAAACTAACAGACACCGAGATAAAGGGACATATCTGAGCAATGGGACATGTCAAAGAGCACAATACAGATACACCTACAGGTGGTAGGAGGGGTTCTGCCAGACTTCCTTCCTGCTCCAGCAGAGTTACTGACACCTCTTTATACTGTCATCACTAGAACTCTAAATTTAAGGAGGGCTGATACACCAGCTTCAGGAACTACTTTAGATCCAGCACAACATCAAAACTCCCTGGAATCAATAGCAGTAGGAAAGCATGGTAGGAGGTACCCCCTGGTCAGCACAGCAGCAGCACAAGCACTGCAGCATTTAAACTATTCAATTCTCGCCCTTTGTCTGAGTCGCTTATATTTTAGCATGATCCCCAGAATTTTAGTATGTTTATTACATCAGACACAAAACCCACAACTGAACTGAGTGTGTGAGTCTCTATAATGTAGTGCTTAGCCAAAAATCCTATTACAAATACGTGCAGTAGGAAACAAGTCCAAGATAGCAACTTCAGTGGGCAGCGTAGGTCTACAAAGACTGAAGCTAAAAACCAGCAGAGCCTGAGCTGATTTCATGTGAGATCAGCTGGGTTGTCTGTGCTTGTGCTCCCCATTCTAGGGGCACCGTGTACAAAAGTCTGAGCAGGCAGAGTCTGGCAGAAGTAGCTATACTAACTCTTTCTAAGAGGGGCTGAGATCTGTAGCATCTATATGGTAAGTATGCACATACGTTCTGGTTGAAGTCTGTAGCCGTACCATGCCTGAACAAAATGCATCATGCTGGGAATCACAGAACAGCTGAGGTTGGAAGGAACCTCTGCAGGTCATTTTGTCCAACCTCTCCTGCTCAAGCAGGGTCAAGTGGTTCACAGTACACAGGTAATCTGCAAACTGAATAATCCAATCACATACTGTGAATTAACTACACAGTTGGACTACACGATCATTGCGGGTCCCTTCCAACTGAATTATCCTATATTCTATATTCCATTTCTTTCCAGTTGGACAAAAGACTTGTTTCTTCATGTGTTTTTCCTAAACAAGCACATACATGCATACATATGCATTCCATATTTATGTACATAATAGTAATATTTACCTCATTCCCATGTCATTTTTGGCTGCTAGCCTAAAGGTGTACCCCATTGCTGGTGACAGTTTAGTAATCCTATACTGCTTCTGTTGCCCATAATAACACTGGCAAAATTCTCCATTTCCTTTTCCCTAAAAAGGAATTAAATTAATCACATTATTCACCTTATTACATATGTGTCCATCAATTAAAGTAACACACAAACATGAAGTAAACTTTTTCTTTGAAATGAAACATAACTCAAGAATCTCCCATATAGTGAGGCAGTAGTACATATATTTAGCAGGTAGTAGTACATATATATAACTTTGTATATATATTGAATTAAATATTATATATTTTTCCTTCCTTGCCATTTCCCAGCTCTATGGGGTTGGAAGGAAAAAGCCATGAAGCTTCTACAGCTCTGCCATCTCAGGATAGCTGTCCAGGTAGGGACTGGAAGATGCTTGTGGGTGCATAGCAGATCCACCCTCTTTGTACAAAGGACAAGACTGTTACAGGGAAACGGTCCTTCAGTGTCAGCTCTTCACAGAAGTATTGGACTACAGGTGAAAAAGCCACTATTAAGAGTGGTAGAATCATGTAATGAGGAATTTCCTATTATTCCCCAAGAAAAAAATTGGGCAACAACCATTGTCTTCATAATTCAGGAATTACATATTTCTCACATGCCTCTAGACAGAACTCACACTTTCCATACAGCTTGATGTGCAGAGTCACATACAGTTACTTTTTTAGAAAACATAAAATTAAAAATAAAATAGAATAACTTGCTTACTTCATCCCATTCTAAAAGGTAACTGTGGATTTTAGAACCATTATCACAAGATGCCTGTAACAGGAAAAGAAAAAAATTAGAGCTCTAACTGGTTACAAGACCACTTAAGGAAAAAAGATGCATGTATAGGTCAAATCATGGCAAGACCAGTGAAGGGCAAAGGATGTTCCCCTCATATGACTACTTGACTTGCCAAGACACTCCTACTTCAGTCTCTATCTAATGAATGCTTGTATCCTATTTTTGGTTTAGTTTTGTAACTTAGACCTTGAAAAAGTATTCTGGCAGAAGTATAAAATGCTACAGAATTTTTCCGAGCAGCTAGATTGCAAGTCTGCTTAAATCTCAGTCTTTCTAGACCACTTGATTTGCTTTGAACAAATAAGCTGATGCTCAGTACAGAAAATGGAATTGGTTCCACAGTACAGGAGAGGTCTGGAACCCAAACCAGTGTCTGTCATTAGAGCTCAGTAACTTTATCTGCAAAGGCTCTTACTTTTCTGGGAATCTCTCTTTTTACTCAAGTCCACATTTAACCCAGTACACATACTCTACTGTTCAGTCACAGAACTGCGACCAAAAGTAGTATGTTTGACAAAAAAATTCCATTTCAATGAACTAGTATTTTATTAACAAATCTGAAACAATTCTGAAGCATTTAAAATAGTTATTTTAAAACAATTCTTACCTTCCACTGCAGAGTAAGAGAATTTTTGGTCCGATTAGTTATCCTGGGCAGATTTGGAGTATCAGGTTCACAACTCGTTGTGGTAAAACTCTCTGCTTCTGAAGGGCTCCCCTTTACACAGTTGCATTCTACTTGGACTCTGAAGTGGAAAAGAGCCAATAACATTTTGCTTCAAAATCTGTACATATAGTTTCTAAAGAAAACTGAGTATTCAGAACTAAGTTACTGCCTTGCTATCTTACTATTAAAATGTCACTGTTATAAACAGATAACTGGTGGAAGCATCTTGGTCAGCAGAACTAATGCAAAAGAAGAGTCGTTTACTTTGGATGTACATCATTACCATCACTCAGCTTTAGTCTCACAATTACATTTGAAATACGTCTGTTATTTGCTGTATTTTGGTTGGGAAATAATGGTAACATCTTGCAGGCTCTGTGTGTTGTGGACATATCAATTGATATTACAAATAATTCTTCTCCTACAAGTGCATTCGTCAGATGAGCACAATGAAGCTGTTGATATATTTTCAGAGTACCTTCTACACTCCTTCAAGACCTTGCTGAGTCTGTTCACCCTGAACTTTCCTTTAGGAACGCTATGAATTAACTCTCCATGTACTTCAGAAGAGTGAATTCTCGCTGTTGACTCAAAGAGAAATGGTTCATTTTTCTAATAGCTTTTCTCCAAAATTAAATACAGGATTATTATCTGGCCTCCCTGTGCCCTCTTACTGACCCCCCACAGTTGTGTAGCTATGCCTTGTCTCCTCCTTGGGTGAACATGCACATTATTTTCTTCTGATTCACCTGTTCCTTTGAAAGAAAAAACAAAACCCCCAAAAAACCTTTCCTCTGATCACAGGTGTAAGACCTGTGTTGACTGTTTATGAAGATGCAAAAGTCCTTGTATGTTTTTGCTGCACGAACAGCAAGTCACAAGAAATGTGGCTTTGTAGATTTCATGAACAGGGAGACAGAGACATTTGAACAGCGACTAATGTTGCACACAAAGTTGTTTGTTCTAGCATACAGTTGCAAATATATAATTTGTCAGTTATCTTCACAGATGTGCTTGGATGGCTAACTCATCTATTCCCATGTCTCCTCTATGATGACCACAATTAAGCTAGAAAGAATCTGGATGTAGCCTGATAAAAAAGGACTTGTACAGTAAAAAAAAATTCCTAGGCTTTGAAACTTAACACATTTTCAACTTAAACATCATTGGGTAAAAACAGGAACAAAATCACAGGGAAACACTTGCATATGAAAGAGCTTTACATCAATTTATCGTTAATCCTTCTCCAGAACTTGTGCTGCAGTCCATAAAGTGGCCCAAATTAAATGAGGCGTGTGATGAAGCACAGGCCAAATCTCTTTTCCTTCTGGTTTGGCAACCAGGACAATAACCTGGAATACAGCACTAGGAGGTATGGACGACCTCACACCAAGGACCAGGAATGTAGCTCTTCCATTTGAGCAAATGCTAATCAAGAGACTTATACAACAGAAATCTTCCTCCTCCCTACTCCTGATGTAAAAGCTCATGTGGAAAAAGACACAACATTTCAGACTCCTTTCCTCGCTCAGACACACCTCTGTTCCCTGTGCTTCCTACCAGCTGCATCTAAACTGGTTCTCTGGTCACTACACTGGATTCTCCACATAGTCAGGAGAGGTAAATCCCTCACATGCTGCACATTCAGACACTTCTAAAATTGCATGCTCCACTTGCAATTCTTTCTTGAAAAGGCAGTACTTTTAAGGTGGCTTCACTTCTGCCTTCACAATGCTTTGTATTTATAAACTGCTGTATTCATACTGTTTTGGGTTTTTTTAATCAAGAAATAAGACAAATCTCCAATATGTAAAAAAAGAGGGAAGCACACCTAACCACATCTTTCCAATCCTCTGCTATTTCTTCAGTAGGACACAGCAAAGTAGTAAATTCTGCTACAAGGGTAGAATTACATTTTGCTGGGGGCATCTTTAGTAATGCATATGGGGGCAGATTCATCAGTCTGCTGGTGAAAGTGCTGTTGAGCAAAGTGAAAACAGCATAACCTGACCTTCAGGTGCCCAGCAGTGAGCATGTTCCTGTGCAAGTACCTCTCTCTGCTGCCCATGGGAAACAGAGAAAGCAAGCAGCATCTATGCCTGGCTCAAAGGACAAAAAAAATGTCACTGTTCTGGCATGACATGGAAGTAAAGAGCATGGTGCAACAATCTCCTGCCTTCCAAAACTGACTGAGTGATCAGCTAAGCCAAAAAAGTTGATTTGTGACTCAAAGGAGGGTGAGATGTGGTAAAGAATCCCTGAAGACTTATGCAAATACACAGGTACAATGAAACTTTTAAAACATTTCCACTGAATTTAATTAATAGAGAAGGAGATACTCACTTTGCATGGTAATCAGTTGCTGGCCTGAGATCATTTACAGTAACTTTATTTTCTTCTCCACTGGAAAGAGATATGATTTTGTTTAAGATACTCTTTCAGAATCCCATACATTATAAAATGACACACATCCTCTAACCCATCCACCTAACACTACCGCTAAGAAATACATTTACTAACAGTTTATTTCTGTTACTAAATATGGTAAAATGAAAATGCATTTATTTTTTAATTTTAGGGGCTTCTCTCTTTTGATTCCTGTTGTTTTGCCCTGGTGGTTTTGTTTTTTTTTTTTGTTGTTCTGTTTGTGTTTTTTTAAGAATAATCACTTTCCTTTTTACTCAGTAAGATCAGCTGCATGTATACACGTGTATTTTATTACACAAAAAAACGGGGCCTTTAGAAGCTCAGTTCAGCCTTGCAAAAAGGTTTATCTAAAATTGTAAATGACTGTATATACCTAACTTGTTAGAGCCCAGTAAACAGAAAAGGCACCTCAGTGACATCTCTTAGTCTGCTTTTACTGACATCAACTTATGTTAGTAAAGCTCATTTCTTTTCCTCTAGCTTCCAGGATGGTGATACCCAACTTATGAGTAACGTACTGCTCCTAAGAAATCCATGGAAGGTGACAAAGATAAACTAGCTAAATATAAAGATTTATAATTATTAGAGAGCTCTACATTCTTAATGGTAAGTTTTAGTGTTATATTTCTCTAAGTTACAAAAAACTGACTGAAAACCATTGTGTTAGGAATGAAACAACTGAAGAGTTCTGTTTGTTTTGCTGCTGCTAGAGTTGTGTTCTGAGTAAATCTACTTACTTTATTTCACATTGTCAGACTGTTTCTTACGAAGGACATTTTCAGGGAAGGGAGGGACAACCTTACTGGGAGCAGAAGCAAGAGCTGAAGTAAATAGTTATAAATACAATTTATACTTCTCACTAGTTGTTTATCTCACTACTTGAGAATCCATAGTTTCTAGTGCAGCTGGCTGAAATACAGCTAAGTGGTATTAAAACACCTTTCCCACATCTAAGAACAAAGTCTTTAAATCCTAACGGATGGGAGAGACTTCAGTAATAAAACAGTTCATTGTTTTATTAATGAACTTTCATTTCTACTGAAAAAGAGTAATTTGTTTCAAAACAGAAGTTGCACAAAACTGCTAATTATTCAAACATCCAGACAACAGGCAGATTTTTAATGAGGTTTTAAGCCACATAATTGAATGCAACAGCAGTTAAGGAAAAATAATGAACACCTACACGTATACAGTTTTGTACTTTCCATCTTTTCCGGTATTTGAAATCATCACTTCGTAAATATAAACATCTGGTAGGTCATTCTTGTCGGTGTCTTCTCTGGCATCACTGGATGGAGGGGACCACATAAGCTGTGCTGTTCTTGCCTGAATGTCTGATACCTGCAGAAACAACTTTTGAGACCTCTGCCATTTAAATAATATTGTATATAAATGCTGCTTTGCCACGTAGGACCAAATTACAGAATCACAGAATGTCAGGGATTGGAAGGGACCTCGAAAGATCATCCAGTCCAATCCCCCTGCCAGAGCAGGAACCTAAATGAGATCACACAGGAAGGCGTCCAGGCGGGTTTTGAATGTCTCCAGAGAAGGAGACTCCACAACCTCCCTGGGCAGCCTGTTCCAGTGCTCTGTCACCCTCACCATAAAGAAGTTCCTTCTGAAATTTAAGCAGAACCTCCTGTGTTCCAGCTCACACCCATTGCCCCTTGTCCTATCGTTGGGCATCACTGAGAAGAGCCTGGCTCCATCCTCATGACATTCGCCCTTTACATATTTATAAACATTAATGAGGTCTCCCCTCAGTCTCCTCTTCTCCAAGCTAAAGAGACCCAGCTCCCTCAGCCTTTCCTCATCAGGGAGATGCTCCACTCCCTTAATCATCTTGGTGGCTCTGTGTTGGACTCTCTCAAGCAGTTCCCTGTCCTTCTTGAACTGTGGGACCCAGAACTGGACACAATATTCCAGATATGGCCTCACCAGGGTAGAGTAGAGGGGGAAATAAATAAATAAAAAAATAAAAGAGAAGAAAATCATATACCATTAACACATCAGAGTATTTATACTGATATAATAGCTACTAGCTTTTATAGATCAAGCTGGAAATATAAGAAATGTAACAAGAAAATGGCAATCTTGGGGCACGGGGAGGGGGTGGGATGGGGTTAAGTGCAAAGGAATTTCTAAGTCATGAATGCCACCTAGTGGGCTACACAAAAATGAATAGTACCGTTCGTGAAGCAGAAGACATGGCAAGCATATACTATGACATCAGTAATTTTGTTAAATGACAATGTTTCAGGCCTTTTTTTCTTTGGCACTATGATTTTTTTCAATACCTTCTTGCCAACTCGGTTTTCATATGAGATATACAGAAGCTCAGGAATTTCTCAAGAACGACTGGCATTACTGTAACAGGTACCTAAAGAAACTGCTTTGGTCATTTAATTATGACTGCGACAAGTAGACTCTCCCATTAGATTACAACTTATTTGGTTAACTACCCCAGCAACTTTTATTTTTTTTTTAAATCAGGATATTAACAGGCATACAACTACCTGAGGCTCCAATCTAGTACTCTACTAGCAAGCAGAATATTAGAACTTATCTCATAACGCACTTTGAGCTCAGGTGTTTGTGATGAAGGCATGCTCACAAGGCCCATGTACATATACATATCTATCTATCTACCTATACATATGGGCAACATCCTAAAGAATTCCTGTGGTGATGCTTGCCTGCACAGCCCACCCTTTGCAGAAAGGCCTGAATAACAACAGTTAGTGTGATAGAAATATGAGCATCAACAGTATCAATGCAACACCTCCAACTGTTCGAGAAGCGTTTGCCCCAACAGACTCGCTGTGCTAAAGGTGGCCGCCCTCAGGTGGATTAAATGGTAACTGGGGAATCATAAAGAGACTTCTGAAATGAAGCAGGAATCAGCTTCAGAAGTATAAAAACAGCATGAAAATTCATAACAGGGATGAAAGCTGCTGGAGTAGAACAGAGAAATGATCAAAACATGGCCTGACTCTGTGAGAAATTGCTCTGCCATCACTTCTGCCTCCATCCAGGCCTGATGGGTGCCGTGAGGAGCTTCCCCCCAGTGGGCACAACAGTAGTTTGGGGTGCAGCAGGCACGGACCCACAGCTCAAGTGGGCACATGTGACCTGGTGGGGAGCTTTCTCAATGGCCTGTGGATTAGCAGATTGTAGGGAACAACAGATTTTAGGGAATAACAGTTACATACAAAGCTAAAGCACCCACATCTCCCTAAGGACATGTGCAGTTCGGGGCACCAACGCTCTCAGAAGAGCGGGTGCCGCATGAAACCCACACGTGCTGCAAGGGGCTGGGGATGCTCATATGTCTGTAGGTGAGTGCACAGGTGCGTTCATGTGATTACAAAAGAAGGGAGCCTAGAAATTTGTGGGTGTTTATTAATATTGCACATCTGCTATTGTGGTTTATATGTTGCACCCATCTAATATTTCCAATTATTTCATAAGAAAATTGAAAACATGTTTCATGACATGAAATGGCTAGTTTTACAATATGACTGTAATATATACCTATTTTGGGAATAATTGCTTTTGAAAATCTATTACAAGAGCATCAGAATTAAAATGCTATCTTCACAACTGGTGCTCTTAAATTGCTATAATCTACTGAACTAAAAACCTGAATGGGTTAACTTCAAGAATGAAGCAGAGAGGAGATGACTTACTGGTAACAGACAAACAGAAAGGAGGAAAAAAAGAAACAAGATGAGCCTCAGTGCCTTGGAAATAATGTCACTTAGCCCTCATATAGGACTGTACATCACATCCCAAAAGGGAACAAATGATAGTAAGATTACCCACTGAAGTTGGGTACAAAGCCACTGTCCATCCATCCATCAAGTGCTTGGAAACAATTCAAAGTTTGGTAAGAGAAATTCCACTATAATCTTGATGCAGTCACGAACTACGCTAACAGTAACTACAACCACTTCAGTACAATTTGAGCATTTCTGGAGGTCTCTGGAGCTGTGGGAAGCATCCGGGGTGGCAAAATCTCCCTCTCAGACAATCCTAATCCCTCCTTCCTGGGTTGCAGAATGCAGCAAGGGATACTGAAGGAAAGAAGTGTAGGTTCCTGCAGGATCTACTATGCTCCAGGACTAGTAGGTCCACTGTAAGATGACTGATTCCTATACTTAGCTACCTTAAAGCTGAAATTTTTTTCCTAATGTCCAGGCAGCATCTTTCTTACTACCAGCTAAGTCTACTAGCCCTAGCCACATTATATCTTCTCTTCCTTTCTGTAGTTGTTTCTTATGTATGCAAAGACTGTTAGCATTTGCGTCTCACCTCACTTATCTAAATCTCTGATCATTCTCACTGTTCTTATCTCCTGCTGTTTCTTTATCTCAGTGCTTTGCCCAGAACTGCACATAACATGCCATCTAACACTTTACTAATGCCAAGCCACCTTATACACTTGACAGATTACATTTCTCTTCATACATCTTAGTCTACCTTCTTTTACACCAGAGGAGTAATGAGGTTGGTCAGAGTGAAAGGTGGCATTACATCTTATTGGAACTTTAAAAGATTAGAGGTTTCAACTGTTCAGTACAGAGAGAGCAAGCAGGAAGAGTGGGACTGAGATTGCAAACTACAGAGTAACATAAAACTCACAGGACTTTGACTAGTAAAATTAAACCCCAAGTATTAGTGGAAATCATTTTATATCAACAAGCATAAACAGAGAACAGGGTGAAATGTTCTTTAAGTCTTTGACTGGATGAAAAATTGTTATCCTGAGTTATCCCTCAGGGCAAACATTTGTTAGTCAACTCACATAAACCATCCACAAGCCTTCTAAAATAATAGATGACAACTGTTAACAGAGTAACTGTAACACAATGAAGCAGTATTATGTACCAAGCTAAAAACCAGTGACTATGTACGTTGTTCTGGTTGTTTTACTTTGTATAAACAGAGTATATGACCAAAGAATATTACAAAGAGCTGAACCTTTGCTGTGGCCAATTTGCCAAATCTTAAAAGCAACAGTCAGTGGAACTGAATATGATCAGAAATGCAAAGTGAAAAGTATTCACAGAAGCTGGGAATTAAGGACATCCTTATGGTGCATAAAAAGCTGTAACATATAATAACTATATAAATTCTCTATACATACACATGCACACACATATGTTATGGGGAAAAGGAAAAAATATGTTAGCAAATAAACTACAATTGAATGGAATTTACAAGAGAAGGTAAAAGAGTCAATGAAACAAAAACAAGTAATAGGATTAAAGACAAAAAGATATTAAAAAATAAAATCTATCAGGAAATCTCTAGGTCAGGTACTGCCCTACTACTGGTGGATGTAGAAGTTAGAACTGTAAAATGTAATGGAGAAAAGAAAGAAGCATTTAACAGTTATTTCCATGCTGCATTGGCAATGAGGCAGAAATCCATATCCATCTTATGTAACCCTGTGGCTGGACTAGAAAACTTAACAACCAGCAGCAAAGTCACGGGGCCAGTAGATGGTGCCCAGTGAAACCAAGCGGTCTGCAACAAACCAGGTGGTCAGGTATAAAATGCTGGCTCCTCATCAGTGATGCACACTCACATTAAACCAAGGAACAGCAAGAAGCCAAGCCTAGACTAATAAGCCCTGCTGAAGAGCACGGGGGAGTGAACTACTTATGGAACAAGCATTAAGAAGCAGGTACCCGAGAGCGTACAAGAAGGTGTTCAAGGGCAGTAGGAACAGAACAAGTGGTACAACACTTAACTCTTTGGCAGGAATAAATACTGGAAATAATTTCCAACCCTATCCCTCATACCCCTGAATCCCCCTGAAGCTGTTACCTTTTTCGTTTCTGCAACCCCAGAGAACGGGAGTTGTGGGGTCCCCAAAAACAGAACTCAGACAAAAAGAAGAGAGGCAAGAGGAGTGGAACTGAGTAATGTCAAGGTTTTTCTTCAGGATCTCCACTCTATATGATGTTACATATTTTCTGAGTTCTGGAGCTTTTCAGTAAATTCACATACAGGTATATAAGTATTTTCAACCACTCTCAGTTGCTAAAAAAATTTTTTCACAGCTGCAAGCATTGACAAGAGAGAATCAGAGAATGTAATTTAAGTTCTTTCCAAACACTTGGTACTGCTTTTCAAATTAAACTTCCAGCTAAGAGAATGATTCTTAAAGACAAGTCTAGGTCCAGCTACATTCTTCCTCACAAGACTATTAATAAGGGACTAAAGCAAGGAATGAAAAGATTAAGAATTGCTAAAACTAAGAAGAATCAAGACAGGGAACTAAAACTGGGCCAGGTTGTCTGGAAGGTGAAGGAGAGAAGGTATGTGGCTGATGAAGAGCAATGCTGGGATCTGATGATCTTTCCATCTGACCCTTTTTCCTTCTTCATCTTATTTTCTTTTTATGTCCTTCCTTCCATAAAAGTTTTCTCCTCTTTATTAGTCACGTGAAGTGTGCGTGTGTGAGTGTGTGCACACGTGTGGTGTGGTAAGCTGAAGGCTGATAAAGGATGAAAAGCAAGGTGCCTGATTACAGAGGAAGTAGCAGACCCATGGCAAGCTCCTCCTGGAGTTTCAGTTGCATGGACTTTCTGTAGTTTACAAAAGGGAACACAGGCTGTTTTTACTCAAGCAAGCTGAGTGGACTGAGGATTGAGGTGCAGATTTTTGGAAAAGCTGTGCAAATCCTCACTGAAAGGTTAGGACCAGGGAAGGTCCAAATGACGAAAGAAATGGACATAAGCTTGTTCTAAAATGCAAGACACTGTTGATTTCAGCCATGGTGCTTTAACAAGTCTCTACACAGAGCCGTAGTTTTTCTCTACTTTTCAAGTAAGATATTCCAAAATCTCATTTTTGGTGAGGTTTCCAAAACATCACCAAGTATCTCTCATGCCTAGAGACACCTGGTATGTAAAATTGTTTCCTGAACATTGAAAACTAAACAGTGTTACAGGAAATTGAGAACAGATTTTACAGTAAGAGATGATGTTAAGCAGCATCATCATGTTACTGGCAATGTTACAAGCTTTTTCTATATATATATTTTTATAATTCTGTTAAAACTGAGATTTCAGAGTGAGCAAGAAAAAGAATTCCACATAATAAGTACCAAGATAATTTTAGCTTCCTAAATGTTAATACACCAAAAATTACTTTGGTCATTTACATTTCAGTGACTGGAAGTGAGTTTTCTTCAGTGCAGGAAGTTAAAGATCCTTTCAGCGTGGAGAGAGAAAAGGTGGTGTAACTGTATAAACTAGCAACAGATACATTCTGATTTTATGGGAAACTTTATTTACTTACCACTGGCTTGGCTATATTAGAAAGAAGTGCTTCAAGTGCTTTTGTTTCTTCATCCTTTTCTTAAAAAATAAAACCAAAGCAAACAAAAAGTACCCATGAATATTGTTCAGTGACTTTATAGTGAAACAGCTCTCCAAATTCAACAACTGCACATAGACTAAAGTATGTATAAAAGAGAACATTTGCTAACTTGCATTTATCTAGAGTAACATAAAACCAAAAAAGCTCCCAAATAAGTTGTTCATGTAAAACTATTTCTAAATCTGTCCTATGATCTAATGCAATGCAGAAAGCCTGGTTATCTTTTATTAATATATAACTTTAAACCAAACTACTGCTCTGGAGAACTTAAGCTCCTGGCTGGTATCTCCTACAGATTTCTCTTTGGATGTAGATGCAGTCAAGTTACAATACGTTAAATATGTTATTGCACATCACGTGGAGGATGACTGATAACACTGCTGGCCTGCCTCAACTGCAAGGGCAAACCTCAGCTCAGCCTTCAGATACATCTCAGGCAAAGAATCTAAGGTGTTTTGTTTCAGCTGAAGGTATAGCTGAGCTTTACAGAGAACTCCATGAGTTTATAGAAAGTGTTTTATGTGCTTCCTCTCACACAGTATTAAAATGTTATTATCTCAATAGTATAAGTGAACAGGCTACTCAGTGTTGAAGGTGTGGCCAAGCGTTTTTAATTCACTTAACCTACCTTAAACTAAAAATAAAAAGAAAAACAAAGCCTGATAAAAATCTTTTAAAAACATGTCAAATCTATTTACAACTGTATATTTCTAAGTTTATAACTAACTAAATGAGTTTCTGACTTCTGTTTGTTATTGCAAGTCTAAGTCACAGTATAAAGTTTTCCAAAAATCTCCAGCAATAAATAATTTCGAAAAGTGGACTTTTCCATTTTTCATATAAAATAATTCTATGGAACTGTTGACACAGTTTTCCTAACATATGTGACCAACAGTACATTTTGTCAGTTGTGTCTTGGTAAAGTTAGTTCACAGATAAATACCAACTAACAGAAAGTAAATGGAAGCCAAGACAAATGCCACTCTGGAACTAGAGAGACAAGTACTCATTCAAGTTTGGAGCAACAGTTCCCAACTTCTGAATTCAGGTTTTACCTCAAAACTTTCACACGGTATCATTTACACATGTTTTTAAACAGATCTTTCAGGTTGAGATCTCCTGGTCTTATACGTTTATACATACGTTCTTCACATTCCTTTCGGTTTACAGCAATCTAATACGCATTGGCACAAAACCACCATCTCAAAACAAACTTCGATGAGTTGAGAAAATCATGGTTTGTTTCCCTCAGCATCACTAGTTACAACTCCCTGTTCTGAGAAAATTGTCGCTTGTCTGACGACAAGCCTTTGACATTGTGTTCTGAACCTGAAGTGCTATGTCAGTGACCTGAAACTTGCACAGTGACACACCATCAGATTTGACAATGACTGTATGACCAAGATTGAGTGAATTCAGGCCTTTGATGAGATCACAAGCTTTCCGAGAAATAAAGGTATTAATAATAAACACACTCCCTATGGTACTGTCTTAGAGAACATGAACTCACACGGTCTAGTGTGAGGAACAGTCTTTTTCTATGAAGGCCTTTCAATTATGAGTTGGTAGGGACAGGAATGATGTGAATTTTATATAACAACAGTATCTCTTTTACAAAATATTCCTCTTTAACAAGCTGAATGTAGGTTTCCTGTATCAGACACCTGGTTCTTTCCATGTTTTGTGCAACATCAAGCAGGCCATCAATATTCAGTGATTCCATAACATGTAAGCACGAATAACTCAGGACAAAGCATAATTTTTTTTTTTTTTTAAATAGTGTTATGCAGTATGACTACTAAGATTTGCTCAAACCTATGCGCAGACTTGCATGTCAGTAGTTTTGTTCTCTTAGGCCCAATTGTTCCAATGTGAGGAGCAGGTCAATTGCCCTTAACTGCATTCAATGTAAGGCAGTTACGTGCTACTACCCAACTTCAAGACTGTCAAAGTGTGGTGTTCTATCTACAAATGCTATGCTCAGTCAGACACTGGACTTGCATAATATTATATATATATATA